TTGTTTGTTTGTTTGTTTGTTTGTTTGTTTGTTTGTTTGTTTGTTTGTTTGTTTGTTTGTTTGTTTGTTTGTTTGTTTGTTTGTTTGTTTGTGCCTCAGTAAGCAGTTGGGGTCAGAAATCGCTGAAACTTGTAGTTTTGGGAAAAGAAGGAGAAAATGTGGAAAACCTGTGCAACGAGATGTTGTGGGGTGTTTGAAAGTAGGCTCATATTCGGTCTAAAAACACAAAAATCCCATATGGTGTTCAAAGATTAAAATGTGTATCTTTTTTTTCTGGTGACTGTGGAATTGTATTTTCATGACAATAACTTGGGATGAGTTATTTGTCTAAATGCCTCTAGTAAAATTGCTGTGATGGTCTAATTCTATCCATAAGTCAAACAAGAAACAATAACAAGATCACTTGACAAGATCAAAGTTGYGTGATGAAATTCAATGTAACAACCCCTTTTTTTGCATCACCATCTTGTTTTATCAACAAAAAAAGAATGAAAAACAGGATAAAAATAGTTGGTTGATTCAAGATAACACAACAAATACAACAACCGCCTTCACATTGACTGTGCTGAATAATCACCCTTTGTTGTCTCTCCTTCATGCATCTCAAGCCCTGAAAATCAAAGTGAAGGACATTTTTTACGTCAACGACGACACCAAGATAGTACCCGAGGCCAAGAGCAAGACCATCTACATGATGAACGGCGTGACGGAGCTCGACCTGAAGAGGACCGTGCTGTGGCTGAGGGATGGACTGCGCTGCATCTGTGAGGAGATGAACGACATCAACGCCGCCTACCTGGTCATGGGCCAGAAGATAAACGGGCGCCTGGTTATCACCTCACTGAAGCGCTGGCAGAAGGGCCAGCGTGAGTTCAAGAGGATCTCACGGAGCATTCGTAAGATCCAGTGCTAGGAAGGAGAGATGAAACTGTGTAATGATGCTGAATATCAAGCTTAGTCAAATTATTTTGTTTGGCTCTAAAGTGCAGCTGATTCCCCAGGCCTCCAAACACACAACTTCCTGTTTCTTCTTTGGGCTTATTATAGAAAAAAGCATTTAATTATAAATCATGTGTTGGATTACATTTATAAAACACATAATCTATATAAAAACACAAATTTAGTTGACATTAAAACCATAATTCGTGTGGACTTGTTGGTAAATTTAGTTTTTTTGAGTTGAGCTGACGCCCTCTAGTGGACAGTCTAAGTGCCTACACAAATAATGTTTTTTTTATCAGTTAGTTGTTGGTGTAAAATACACTCGGTTGGTGTTAAAAGTGGAAAATGAAAATGATGAAAAACAAAACTAGAACAATAAAACAATAAACATAATTATTAATGACATAAATGTAACCTCATTCTGCATAAAGGTAGACATCGCCTTTCTCCTGAATGCTCATTTGGGATTAGATTTCCAAAACAAAAAAAAAAAAAAAGAATTACTTTAGTTAAAAAATTACAATAAATTAGCAACTGATAGTAGCATAATTGAAAGCAATACTATAGGTGCACATTGAGAAAATGTGTGATTCTTGTGTGTATAGGTTGAAGTTCATATAATATTTGTATTTTTATTATTTCCTCTGTTTACTCATGTAAAAACGAGAGATAGCTGGCTATATTCTCTTTCTGTTAATCACTTTGTTATTTTTCCAAAGCTTTTTGTTGGTAAGGAACTGCAATCCTTTCTTTAACTTTGTAAACAATATTTCTTTTTCTACTTCCGCATTCAAATTTCATAGTTTAAACTTGCTTTGGCTTGCATCAACTTTATGCGCTTGAGTAATCCAAACAGTTTATTATTATTGTTGTTTGTTCATTTTAAATACATCACTTTTTCAACTTTCAACTTTGCAACTTGATAAGTATGAGTTTGTGTGTGTAATATAAAGGTATTTTTTAGAAATATAACAGTGTAAATATGGAATACTGTCATTTAAGCTGGTATAAAGTGTTCAGCAATTAAAAACTGCCAATCACATGTTTGAGGAGAGTCCTTTTATTGGTTGTTTTTTGAGCAACTAAATCAAACGCGCTGTCACAAAAGTAGATTTTAAGTGAATATACCGGTTCTTTACTAGAGAAATCTGATGTTTTTAAGACATCAAAAAAAAAAACTAAATGGGTGATGATTTAAAGAAATTCCCAGATGAATTAGAGTAAAAGCCTTTTAACAAACATACTGTATTTACTGCTTTTATCCATTTTCTCTGAGGAGCTTTAAATCCATAAAGATGCCAGAAGAGGGTGGTAGACCAAAATATTTCTAGGCCACTACCTGCTCAGAATACCAAACATGAAAGTGATCAAAATGATTCAGTAGATCAGATCAGATACTCCTTTACGAAAGTTTTTTTTTTCAAACTTTACACTTTTTTTGTTGTTGTTTGACAGTTGTCATATGATTGCCATGAGACTGAATGACTCACCTCCACAGCCACGGGCACGCTCTGTTTGACCTTGAAATAAKTGGGACTCTCCATTGGCCAGAACAAGACTGGTGAACCTTCTGGATGAATGTCAAAAAAGTACTCGGCACTCCTACAGTCTAGACAATAGTTTTATTTTTTTTATCTGATATAATCACTGTTATCGTGGTCCAGTGCCAACTCTGAAAAAAATCACATTTTACTAAGCAGCTGTGGAAAACTCTTTCCAAATGCCAAAGTTTGTGTCACAGTATGAGTGAATGGTTTACAAAAAGCAAGAATTTTAGCTATTTTTAAAGTAAATTCTAATATTACTTGTTGTCGAAAACTCTTTGAACATCCTCAGGTTGAAGGAATTGCCCAACTAACCAAAACAATTCTGCAAACACTATTTCACAAATGTACACAGATTCTTCAGATAATACTATGACGTGTGTCCCAGAATCCTAGCAGTGCTACAGCTAGCTGCTGCAGTCATGTGATGGAAAACTGACGGCAACATTAAGTTTTATATAATACTGTAGTCATATACCGCTCTGATATTTATAAGTTTGGAGACTTTTTTAATGATAGCAGTCTAATTTGATCTTCCCTTGTCCCATAGCCATAAGCTTGTCAGTTTGGTCAGACTTGAACGCTGTCCAAACTGAGGTTGTTCAGAAAGGTATCATCAACATGTAAGATATTAACTGTTCATAACCTTTTTTCACTTCAGAATTATAGCTTTAAATTAGAATAAATAAAGAAAAGAAAACTATACACTTCTTGCTTCTGTTTCTTTGTTCAAATGGACAATATCTCAGAGAAAATACTGACATACAATGTACAATTTTGCATGTTTAAACAATGATTTACTGTCAAAGCAAATGTGAAAAGCCTTTCAAAGTAAAATCTTAAGAATGAATCAATTAATTAGCTACTGTCAGGTTTTGACATTTCATTCTTCCCTGGAAATTTCCTTTTTTAAACTTTATTGTGGCATCACAAGGTCTTTATATATATATATATATATATATATATNTGATTTATTTTATTTGTTTATTTATTTATTGTGAAAATATTCAGGAGCATTTGCAAAAACTTTCTAGAAAAAAAAAGAAAACCCCTGGCATGAAGCTGTGGTGGCCCTCTTGAATTGGGCCTGTGACCCACTTTTTCCTGTCTGAACAATCACAGAGACAGAGGGATTTTTCTGATAACAGTTTAGACTGATTCAGAATCACGTGTTGGTTAAAACCTTTTTTTGATTTATTTTATTTGTTTATTTATTTATTGTGAAAATATTCAGGAGCATTTGCAAAAACTTTCTAGWAAAAAAAAGAAAACCCCTGGCATGAAGAGTTCACTGCAACATCCTTTACACTTTTAGATGTTATGTGCGAGCCTTTAATATGAGCCATTGTGCTTATTTAGGCGCTTTGGAAAATTGGAAAAYCATCAAACAACTTTATAATTCCATCATTTAAATCAGGACAGAAAGTTTATACTGTGGGTTCCAGCACATAGGTTCAATTAAAAAAGTGGAAAAGAATTTCAAGCTGATATTTTCTTTAATTAAAAAAAGAAAGCACATATTGTGACTTTAAATTACTTATTTATTTTAACAAATTATGCAAAACTGTTAGTGTTTTAGTGATTATTCTTCATTCAAGTATTTGCCAATAAGTAGTGAGAGAAGGTGCTGGAAAAACGTTGCCATTAATCCACTGTATGTCTTTGGAAGATTAAGTGAACAGATAAAATCTTACATGTAACTTTTCAAACAACCATTGGGAGGAAGTTTGTTTTAGAAGAATCTCAATTTATTTATTTATTTAKTTTTTGGCCAGGACAGTGTAATCCAAAACTGGCAGTAATGCAATCAGAATAAAATCATTTGCGWGAACTTTTTGAGTTTGAAGCTGTTTAAAAATTGACTTTCTCAGACTGGCTATTTGTTTGTCAACCAGAATTAAGCTCTCTTCAAATTGAGAACATTAAAAATATAAAAAAAATATGTAAACAACAGGCCAGGTCATGTCACAGAATACCACTTTAAAAAATGTCTAACTATCCCTGTAATTGTTACTCATCTCTGCTTTCTTGGGCCTGGCTAATACCCATCCAAAACAAACTGTTAAAAAACAAAAGCATCTGCTGATGATGAATCCCAAAAAAGTGTGTGTGTGTGTGTGGGGGTGGGGTGGGGGGCAACCTGGGTGTAATTTGGGTGAACTGACCCTTTTAGCAAGAAATTCCACTTTCAGGCTTGTGGCGTCTGAGCCTGAGAAGAACCAGTGTGGGGGCTTTTTTTTTTTTTCTTTTCAGCTCATGGGGGTCTGAGAGGCGGACAGGAGCCAGAGCTGCAGTGCCGGAGGTGGGAAGGCAGATTTGGTTACACTCCCCCCACCCCACCTACCCCCTCAAGGGTTGATCCGACCGAGTGGAGGTCTGCTTCTCACACCAGGCCAACCCATATTTCACCATGTGGTACGAACCTGCAGACCTGCCCAAAGGACTTCAGCGCTCCTAATGATGGAAAATTAACGCTCCACTGAACAGAGCTAAATGCCCCTACTGACACCCACCCGCCTCACCCCACCTCCTCCTCCACCCCCACTATTTACAGTGCGCCAAAAAGGATC